ATCACCCAATATCACTGTGTATTAGTTACTTTTCTGTTGCTGTGATAGAAACACTGACCAAAGCAACTTACAAAAGGAAGAGTTTATTTAAGCCTATAGTTCCAAAGGGGCAGGAGTCCATCATGGCAGGGAGGCTTGGCAGCGGAGATGGTTGGGGAAGCAGAAGCTAAGCTCTCATATCTTCAAGCAGGCAAAGGAAGCAAGAGGATAACTCCAGATCCCCCAGGGCTTAAGAACTCTCTAAGCTTGCCCCCAGTGACATGCTTCCTCCAGCTTAGCCTCCCAAAACAGTGCTACCAACTGGTGACAAAATGTCCAAATACTTGGAGCCTATGATGGACATTCTCATTCAAAACTACTACACACTGAGTTGGTGTCCATCTCTGTGTTATAGTCCTGGACTACTGACTTTATGAAATTGGGTGCCCCAGAGTTTGGTGGATAAATGTTCATGATTATAATATCTGCTGGTCAATTGTTCCTTTGATTAGAATGAAGTAACCCTCCTCTTCTAATGAGTTTTAATTTGAAGTCTATTTTGTCAGATATTAAAATTGCGACACCTACTTCCTTCTTAGGGCCATTTTCTTGGAATATTTTTTTCCACCCTTTCACCCTAAGATAATGTCTACCTTTGAAGGTGAAATGAGTTTGTTGGAGACAAAAAAAGATAGGTTTTCTTTCTTGATCAATTGTACCAGCCTGTGTCTTTTGATGGAGGAGTTGAGGCCATTGATATTTAGTGTTATTATTGAAAGATGTGTATACTGTCATTTTAATTTCTTTGTGTTTGTGGCCCTACTTTGTGTTTCCATTGTTACACCTTTCCTTATTTTCTCTCTGTAGCCTCTTGGGCATACTCATTCCTTTCTTCACTCCTTTGTATTGCTTCAAGTATTCTCTATAGGGCTAGTTTGGAAGACATGAGTTCTTTCAGCCTATTTATATCATGGAAAATTTTCTGTTCCCCTTGACCTTGATAGATAATTTTGCTGGATAAAGTGTTTGGGCTTGGCACCCATGATTGTTTAGAACTGGGAATACTTTGTTCATTGCTCTTCTGGCTTTCATAGTTTGCATTGAAAAGTCAGCTGTAATTCTGGTGGGTTTTCCTTTATATATAACTTGTTTTTCTCTAGCAGCTTTCAGTACTCTCTCTTTGTTCTGTACACTTAATGTTTTTACTATGATATGTCATAGGGACTTTCTGTTCTGATCATGTCTTAATGGTGTTCTCTGTGTTTCTTGAATCTCTAGAGGTATATCTTTCCTTAATTTAGGAAAGTTTTCTTCTATAATCCTATTGAAGATCTGTTCGGTGCCATTGGTTTGATTTTCTTCTCCTTCCTGTATCCCTGTAATACGTAGATTTGGTTGTTTCATGTTGTCCCACATTTCCTGAGTATTCCATTCCTGTGGGTTTTTTTTTTTTTTTTATTTTGCATAGTCTTTGCTTAAGGAGTCCAGATCTTCAGCTTTATCCTCCAGTCTTGATATTCTGTTTTCCATTTCATTCATTCTGCTTATGCTTTCTCCTATTGTTTGTAATTGGTTTATTGAGTTTTTCAGTCTCATGTTCATTTCCATTTGGGTTTTCTTCACTATTTCTATCTCTTTGGTGAATTTGCTTTTCAAGCTATGAATTATTTTTGATATTTCATTAAGCCATATAGTTGTATATTCTTGGGCTTCCATCAAAAGGTTATGCCTTTCCTCTTTAAGTTCATTGAGTTGTTTGTGTTTTCTTGAATTTCTTTGATCATGTTTAGATTGTTCTTTTAAATTCTGTGTCCTGGGGTTCTACAGGGTGATTCTTAATGCTGTGCATTTCTGTAGGCCTTGTGGGTTTTGTTGGGGACATATTTTCCTGGTTTTTCATATTGTTTCTGTTTTCTCATTCCCATTTGGGCATATGGATGTTTTTTGTTGGTTATGTGTTCAACAGGAACTTCTCTGTTTTTGTTTTAATTTAATTTTGGTTCTGTTAATATTGTTTATGTAGTTTAGTTACTTTTTGTGTAGGTATGGAAGACAAATTGGTGGGTATTTCAAGGTCTGCCTGCCTGATAGGGATGCTGGGAAGTTGGCCATGAGGGGACCTGCTGGGGGGACAGCCAGGGCAGAAGGCTGGTCTCCGGCATGCAAAGGCAAGTTGGGGGCGGGGGCAGGCTGTGAGGTCTCTAGGGAAGTCAACTGATGAATTGGGTTGGTCTGGGTGCAAAGGTTTTGGAAGCAGTGAGGGTAATCTGGGCCAAGAGGTTAGTCCAGAGGTGTGGGGTGGCAAGACAAGAAGTGGGCCTGTGCCCAGGGCTAGAAGGAGAACAGGATGTGTGAACTAGAAGATTGAATCAAGTCGTAGGAATCAAGAGCAGTGGATGGGGTCAAACTTACCAGGGAAGGAGGCTGGCCTCAGGAATCCCAGGCAGTTTGGAGATGGGGACAGCCAGGGGAGAAGGCTGTTCTCAGGTGTGCAAAGGCAAGTTGGGGTGGGGTGGGGGCAGGCTCTGAGGTCCCTAGGGCAATAGACTAAAGAATTGGGTTGGTCTGGGTGCAAAGGATCAGGAAGCGGTGAGGGTGATCTGGGCCAAGAGAGTAGTCCTTAGGTCTGGAGTGCCAAGAGAAGTGGGCCTGTGCTGGAGGCTAGAAAGAAAACAGGATGTAGTAGCTGGGAGATTGAATCAGGTTGTATGAGAGACAGCTTCTTAAAAGGACTCCGTAGGTTAACCAGGCTCCATTGGATGGACCCAATGGACTGAAGGATATTTGGGGACATGAATCAGACTCTATAGGCCCATGGATATAATAGAGTATATTAAATTGGGCGAGGAGCAGAAAGAGGAGGTGCAGATATGAGAGGGGATCTAAATCAAATTATATTACATGAGAATAGCATAAATCCAATAAAATTTTTAATGTGGTGTGATTTTTTTTGTTGTTGTTTTAGTCTTTTTGAGACAGGGTCTCCCTGTAGCCCCAGCTGTCCTGGAACTCACTATGTAGACCAGGCTGACTTTGAACTCACAGAGATCCTCCTGCCTCTGCTTCCTGAGTGCTGGGAACTCACAAAGATCCTTCCCCCACTGCTTCCTGATCCTTTGCACCCAGACCAACCCAATTCTTCAGTATACTTCTCTAGAGAACTCACAGCCTGCCCCCACCCTCACTTGCCTTTGCACACCTGAGACCAGCCTTCTTCCCTGGCTGTCCCAACCCCCAACCTGCCTGGGATTCCTGAGGCCAGCTTCCTTCCCAGGTAAATTTGACCCTGCCCACTGCTCTTGACTCACACAACCTGATTTAATCTCCCAGCTCCCACATCCTGTTCTCCTTCCACCATGCCTAGTCTGTGTTTTTTTTTTTTTTTTTTTTTTTTTTTCTAAAAGACTTAAGAAAGAAATCTCATTGCATCTCACATTACTTGAATGGATTAGGTTCTTCCTGAATCAGTGCCCACTGATTGGGTTGGGTTTCAATAAATCAAGGTTGAGAACAACTCTAGCCCAAAGCACATGGACCAAGTATGGTGAAACACAGGGTCACAGAGGGGCAAATTAGGGTGGGAATGCTAAGTGGGTACTGGTCATCAAAAACACCATTGCTGTGCAAATACCTAATTATGTGAAACACTTATATTCCTGATTGTGGACAAAGCTCATGGGCTACATGGTATGTCTAAGAAAACTGCCTGGATGAAGTTACAACATTAGTGCTATCTGTGGAGTAAGATTCAATTTGCTGAATGATGAATAGCTCAGATAACCAAGCTTTGAGGCTATCAGGAAGTGTGAAGCAACCAGTTTTAGCATCATTGACCATTTTGACTGACAGAACCAAAAGAACCCTCTCACTTATGAAAGAAATAGAAGTCTGGGGAAGTCGTATTTTCTTTTTTTTCCAGTAAACTTTTTTTTTTTTTTTTTTGTCTTTTTGAGACAGGGTCTCTCTGTAGCCCCAGCTGTCCTGGAACTCACAATGTAGACCAGGCTGGCCTTGAACTCACAGAGATCTGCCTGCCTCTGCCTCCCAAGTGCTGGGATTAAAGGCGTGCACCACCATGCCCAGCTCCAGTAAACTTTTTAATGGAAGTAAAACACATGATCACCACAACACATAGGATCATTAAAATATTTTAATATTAGTATACATTTTTCACAGAAATACGAAAGTCTTATATACCAGTTTTTAACAACAAAATCCTATTGACATGAGTATCAAATATGTTACAAACAGAATAACTTACATACTCAAAATACTTTCAACGAATTCTTCTCTATTCTTTTGGGGAACATAGTATACACCCAAATGGAATGGGGATTGCTTCAATCATGATTGTTTTTTCTATAGCTTCCGTCTTTCTCAGTATGTATGCACGCAGTCTTACTGTTGGTGAAAGAAAGAACCCCTACACACCCCTCTCACCACATTTAAAAGACTTCTCATTTTATGGAGAAGCCATTTTTCTTGAGAGCATACACCAAGTATACAGTAGAGGTGGGACTAGAAAATTGGTCATCTATCTTCCAGCTTAAAACTCTTTTAGGTAATAAGCAATGACAATACTGATAGCAAGTTTTACCATTTGCTATATAACAGGCAATGTAAGAGTACACATGTAAAATCTCATTTAGTCTTCACAACTGTTTTATTCTTGGTTTGCTGGAAATTGAGGGACAGAGAGCCTTACTCAACTACCTTCAGAAGCTGCTCTCAGCCTTTTCCTGCTATTATTTTAGGCTGCACACAGCTCTTTCCTTCTCCTACCTCCCTCTCTTTCCTTCCCTCTCTTTCTCTCTCCTCCCTCCCCTTCCCTTGTCATCCAGTGCTTGGTTTACAGGTTTGTCTCAGGTACAAAAAGTGGAGTGATGAATAAGGAAAGTGATGAATGTCAGAAAAACCTGTCAAGTATGCTCTAATGTGGAATTGGCTGGATTTTAGGATTTGTAGTAACTACATTCAATCTTGGATTGTAAATGTCTGTTTTAATTTTATGCATATTTTAGCAGGCACTTCCAGAAAGTCAGTGGAAAGCATCCCTCACTATCTACAGATAAAAGAAATACTTTTAATCAGCGATCAAGAATTTCTGCCAAGCCATGTAATGGATCAGCATTGGAAGTTCTATGTGGAATGTGAGGAGCTAGAATTCTGAAGTCTTGTATTCTTAATAGTTTACTTGGTGTTTGTTTAGTATTATGAACAGCCTTCCGTCCTTTAGCTTGTATGGTGGGCCTAATTTAGTAGTGGGTTACTACTAGAGATAAGTATTTACTGTTATAAGAAAATTGTTATGGTAAGTGTAAGACTTTTTGCCATTGAATAAAGACATTTCTGAATAAGACTGTATTGAATCTTGCTTTATTTTTATAATATAAACTTAAAACTAATCTTGCATTTACCTTTCCCCCTTTGTATAGATAACAGTTGTTCCATAAGAGAAGGGAAGATATAAATAAAAGAGATTGATGGATAACTAGCCATAAAAGACCCAACAATGTTACTTTTAAGTCAAAATATAAAATTATGAAGGAAATGTAAGTTTCATAGTATAGGTAGTGCTGACTCTTAGAACAAAGAACTAATCAACTGTTGATCAGCAACAGATTATCTTAAAAGGATATACATTACTTTTGACTTGCTACATTGTCATAAAGATTTTTTAAGACTTATTCAAAGCTTTATTAGTTTTCTCAAAGCTCTTTCTTAATATTTTGATAACCATATTTTTCTTATCCTTCATATCTCTGACCACCAAATAAGCTTTTGACTTTTCTCTCTCGTGTAGAAAAGTTAAAATTGCAATCACTAGAAGTTTTTGTGGGGACTATGATATTGCCTTGGGATGTTTTCTTATTTTTAAATGTAGGAACTATCTTTAGAATATATAAGAAAGTAGTTAAGCACTGACTCTGGGGGAACCAAGAAGAAAGGAAGGGTCTCAGAGCCAGAGAGAACCACCTTGCCTTAGCTCTTCCCTGTGAGAACACTGGGCCGTTTGGGGGTAGTCACAAGATGTTTTGCCTATTCTGAGTTCTCAATAAAGCTTAAGCTTCTGACCCTCAGTCATAGACAGGACCTTGTAGACTGTCCAATAACCCAGTCTTCTACTTGGTCTTTGTGCATCCCCTTTGTTCCCCGCGACAATTTCACTGCTTCCTTAGAATCCTATAGACATACACGATTCTATGTATTTAACGTCTAGGAACCATATATGATATATGTCTTTCCAAGACTGGCTTAATTTCTTTAATGTGATTATCCCACTTACATCTGTTTCTCTGCAAGTGACAAAACTTTGTTCCTTATGGCTGAAAAAAATTTCCATTGTGTATACATACCACTTTCTTCAGCCATTCCTCTGTTGCTAGACACCTACACTGGTTCTATAACTTAACTATTGTGAATAATGCTGCAGTAAGCATTGATAGGCAAGTGTATCTGTGCTATGTTGACTTGAAGCCTTCATTCTCCCGAGTCCAGTCTTCATCAGTCCTGTGTAGACTATGCAACAGCAATGCTGACCCATTTCTCTAACTGCAGCTTCTCAGTTAAGCACCTGTGGCATAATGCTGCCAAATTATTCTTAGATCTTGCATTGCTCCCCTGCTGCTGCAAGAATGAAATCTCAGCCAAGCATTCAAGGTTACCTACTGTCTGGTCTTAACTAATCTTCCAGTATCATCTCCCCATGATCTTGTTCCCGAAAATTCATGTGTTGAACCTCTAGTCCCCCGTACTTCAGACGGTGACTGTATTTGGAGACGGGGTCTTTAAAAGGTTGGTTAAGTCAATATAAAGCCATTAAGGCAGACCTTAATTTCAGTCCTCTTTATTAGGAGAGGAAAGTCAGACACACAGGAACACTGGAGATGTTTATAGCAAAAGGTATTCATCCACAAATGGAGAGGACCCAGCATGGAGTAAACTGCACTGGTGTGATTTTAGACCCCAGCTCCAGAACCATGAAATGAGCTTCTGTTGGTTTAAGCCATCCAGTGTGTTGTGTTTTTATTATGGCAGCCCTAGCCAAATGAATATAACCTCTGACTTTTCTTCCCTTGTTCACACTGTTTCTAGAATGTTCCCTCTCTCATGCCCATCTCTGTTTTCATTCTCTGGGCCCACCCCTCATGTATGACCTGTTACCTTGTCTGGCTGTCCCAATCCAAGCACTTAATATTATACACACACACACACATATATATGTATATGTATGTATATGTGTGTGTGCCTGATAGTACTGATTTTAGTTTTCATGGTTTGTCTCTTTGAACACTGGAAAACTTGTTGACAATCTGGTTCGGGTTTTATACTTTATATATCCTATGAAATATCTTGAGCACAGTAGATGCAGGTATATGTGCAGAAAAAAAATACCATACAAAAAGGAGAATTTTCTTCCAAAGCACTTATTTTATGAAAAAGCTTCCCTGAACACTTAAACTGTTATGAAACTTGTATTGCAGGCTAGCGATATGGCTCAGCGGGTAAAGGTGCTTGTGAACAAGCCTGACAGCCTAAGTCAGAGCCCCAGAGTGAGTCACATGCTACTCCTCAATAGGTCACTTACTGGAGAAGTAATATTGTCTTGATTAGCTGAAAGAATGCATGCCTAGGTATAAGAGCACAGCCAGCTGTACAAATTACCCACTGTGCCAGTAGAGAAGCAAGGATGGATGGATGGATGGATGGATGGATGGATGGATGGATGGATGGCAGGCATATGTAAGAGGTTAGCATAAAGCTAATATTTTGAAAATTTGATATATCCCAGGCATCATTGTAAGCACTTTTGATATGTTAAGCCATGTAATCCTTACCTCACCTTGTAAGATGGAAAATAATATTCATATTACAGATGAAGGAACTAAGGCAAAATATGAAAAGTAACTGTCCTACTTTGTTTCTCCATTGCTGTGATAAACCACTCTGACCACTATCAACCTGGGGAGGAAAGGGTTTATTCTCCCAGGTCATAGTTCATCAGGGAGCCCAAGGTAGGAACTCAGGGCAGGAACCTGGAGGCAGGAGCTGGAGCACAGGTCACGGAGGAACACTGCATACTGGCTTGCTTCCCTGGCCTATGCTCAGCCTGCTTTCTTATGCAACACAGGCCCACCTGCTGAGGGGTGGCACCACCCACAGTGGGCTGGGCCCTCCCACATCACACAACAATCAAGACTATGCCCCACAGACATGGCCACAGGCCATTCCAATAGAGACAATTCCAAATTTGAGGGTCCCTCAACCCATGTGTGTCAAATTGATACTAAAGCTATCCAGCACAGTAGCTACCAAGTGGTAGAGCTGTAAATCAAGCTTGGTAATTTAACTTCAGAGCTCATTAGGTGTGGTGTATTTTTTCTCACTCAACCGAAGTTGCCTACCTCAAAATGTACCGTATGTTATTGGAACAGTGTCAGCCTCATGATGGTGACTCTATTGGCTCCTGCCTACACATTCTATTGGAGTCCGTTTGCTTACCGTGGTGAAGGATAGACACAAAGGCAGGTTCTCACTGGTAGAGAATGGAATGCAGCAGTCCAACTGACCAGTTCTAATATAAACATGTTGACATCTACTCTTGAGGCTCTCTGTCTTCCAGTCTAGAAAGTTCTAGGTATGGCCAAACAGTTTTCATGGGGAACTCTTCTGCTGCTTTGAATGAGTCCATGTGCCCATAGACCCTGTCTTGCAAAATGACTTTGGATTTCCTGTGCTATTGAGAACTAACAGCACTTTGCTTTTGCATATATTTCTTTAGAGTCTTTCTCCAGTTTTGTTGGTTTCATCACGTTCACTGAAGCCTCTTTTACAAAAGGAAACACACCTTTTCTAAACATGCAAACGCCAAGAATGTGACTGCTTCCTACTTAAACTACAATGTTCTCAAGTCCCTAGTTCTTTTACCATCTAATTAAAAGGATCAGAATTTGAGACCAAGTACAGGCCTGTGGTTAACCACTAAATTTGTGGGTGTGTATTCTTTCATTTTAGGTTACTTTGCCAAGAGTGCTTTGTTTTGTTTTTGAGACAGGCTAGCTTTGAACTCTCCATGTAGCCAAGGATAACCCTGAACTTTTTTTTTGAGACAGTGTTTCCCTTTAGCTCTAGCTAACCTGGAACTCACTATGTAGACCAGGCTGGCCTTGATCTCACAGAGATCCATCTGTGTCTGCCTCTGCCTCCAGAGTGCTAGGATCAAAGATGTGAGTCACCACACCTTGAACTTTTGGATCCTCTTTCTTTCACCTCCCAAATGCTGAGATTACAGATATGCCACAACACCCATTTTATGTGGCGTTGGGTTGCATGCCAGGTAAGCAATCAATCAGCTGAGATATAGCCCAGCTATCCTTTGCCAGGAGTTTTAAGGCAATACCAGCAGGTGAAAATATTTGATGCTGTAATGTTAATCTAGTACTTCTAGATGGTAAAAGCAGTTGACACTTGTGTTTTCAGCACAAAACACCTTAAAGCTTCATGATGTCTAACAGCTTGGCTGAGATACAAAATTGGGTCATGTCCTTCAAAGCTGGAGACAAGGAAGTGGTAAGGCAAGTTCATAGCTAGTCGAGCCTTCTAGTCACCTGCCATACAGCACAGCTTTTTGGTCTCTGTTCATTATTGTGTTCACAGTAACTTACAAAATGTGTCAACAGAAAACCAAAAATGTGTGTAAAAAATGGCTCCCAAAGAAATGTGCTAGTGATCAAAGCAAAATGGCTCAAGAAGATATTGGTTCTTAGTCAAAAAATAAAAAGAACAGACAGCTAGATTTGGAAGAGGCCACTCTATGCCACAAAAGACTTGCTATGCAATAAACCCAGAGAGTCCCTAGCCTATGAGACTATGGGTCTTCTTTTCCTTTAGAAGCCAAGTAGGATAGTTTGAGACTCTCAGTCCATATACCTCTCAGTCCATAGACAGGCAAAGTCTACCAGCACCCAACTGTAAGCACCCTGCCCTTATTTCTGTACACTTCCCAAGAAGGGACTTAGATGCTCCCACTGCATGTTTCTTTCCATCAGCCTGCTGGTCAACTTGGTCCCTAGTTACACTTAGTCCTATCACTGGTCACATGCCTCTCCACCACAACTCACCTCACTGCACTTGCTCACTTTCCCACCCTGCCCCCAAGTATGGAACAAGTTTTATTGGCAACTTGCTGGTAAAGGGGAAGGAAGTACACAGCACAGCACAGCTGAAATGACCGGACATGACCTCTACCACAGAGAATTTCTCCTCGGTGCTCAGTTCTAGACCCACCTTTGGTTGAGGAAACAGGATAGGACCTTAACGCAGGCTTTAGGCTGACACCTCACTCTAGCAGTGGATA